CAACTTTCTCCTTGATGATCGCTTGCAAGCCATTGTAGCAGCTGCTCATATTCGAAGCGCCGTCGTATGTTTGTGCTACGAGTTTACCAAACGACACACCTTTCGAGACAAGTGTTTCTGGATTAGATTGTATAGTTCCATTGCTTTTGTACCGGAAGCTCTTTTGCAAGACAAAAGGTGCTCGGAGCATTTTCCATTACGATTAACGATCCTTACACAAATTCTAAGCTGCTCGTGGTGACTGACATCCGATGTGGTGTCGGCTATTAATGCCCATGCTCTGCAATTACCGATTTCTTTGACAATTTGCGAGGCGATTTCTCTTCCAATAATTTTGATCACATTATTCTGCGTATCGTTGCTGAGGAAAGTTAGTTTCGAACCCCGTCCTTTGGCACCTTTTTCCCCGCCCTTTCTTCTCGATATAGCTTGCTGATTTCTAACCTTTTCAAGATGATTCACAGTTGTTATATCGTAGGTTGACAGGTAATTCAGCGACTCTAGAAAATTTCCTTTATTTTCTTCTGGGTCATCAATTAGCGATTCTCGATGCCTTCTGAAAGCAAGTCCCTGCTTTCCCAAATGTACAACAGTGTCGACAACGCGTTCCATAATACTGCGGTTTGCCACGACTTCTTTCTTCCGACGCAAAATTTCGGTCTTTTCTTGTTGCTTCAAGCATGAATCGATTGATCGTCCTTGCAAAAAGATAACTTGAGCAATCTTGGCATTTATATGACTTTCGGACTTTTCGTGCTTTGTGATATTACTGTACTGCTTCTTCCAGTTCGAGTACCCAGCATTCGTAAAAGCATTTCCTTGGTTGTGGCGCGTGTTTTCGCCTCTTAAACATACATCTGAAAATAGGAGACGTAGACAATCCTTACTTAGCGAGTATGAAAGCCATTTGCGCGTAGTTTGATCTTCGTGAAAGAATACCGCCTGCGAGCAGTACCGGTTACCTTCTCCAATTTTCTTTTTTCTCTCAGATAAAACGGATTCGGGTGGCTGACATGATTCATTTTTACAAATGGCATTTCGGCGCCCCTCTTGAAACCATCGCTGGGGGGGGGGCATGGCCCCCCCCCAGCCACCACGCCACTGTTTACCAAGGCCATATCTTATGATTCATCTTACATTGTTTACTGGTATTCAGTATATAAAATTCACTGCTGTTGGCGAACGAGCAGTTCACATCTCCATCATGAAAAAAATATGTTGTAATTTCGTTGTAATGCAGCGCACGCTCAGTAATTGTTCGTGTTTCACAATGTTTAAGTAAACTTTTCTGTTTCATGATTGTAACAAAATATCTTACAGTACTATCCGGTAAATATCCGGCAAATTTATACCGGATAGTGCCGGATGTCTAAATTTTACCGGTATCTGGATCCGGCACATCCCTATAAAGTATGTCTTCATTCCTCGTTGTCTTCCTCTCATTCCTGAATCTCTCTATTAATTCAGTAATCTAAATTGTACGGGTGCATTCCATATTCCTTTATAGTCCCAACAATCTAATCATATTTCATGCGAAGACATGTCGGATTTACACATTAATTCCGGTTTTAAATACCTTGGAAGCTTTCCTGGTCATATAGCATAGACAGCAAGATTCCCACATACCAGTGTGACCATAATATTTGCATATATACCTCCGATAGGTAAATACACAAACTAAAGTACCAATATTGCCGTCTGGACTAGCCAGTGTGTAGGACACCTATAGGTTTTTATAGGCAATTGGAATATTTTCTATAGGTGACCTAAGACTTATAGGGATACCCTCCTCCCCATCTGTCACTTGTAACAATGTGATTCAGATACTGTTGCAGGTTATCTAGACCCTACAACCTGCTATTCAACGTATCATCCAACTCATTCACATATCTAAGCCAGAAACGTCTTTTCAATGTGTCCGTTAATTTTTCAATGGTGCTAGTAAACATGCGGATCACAATGCGTTTGGTATATAAAGGAACGTGTTAATTAAAAGATGTTACCAAGTGAAGTGCAATAACATCATTTAAATTCACCTTATCACAACCCGAACACCTGAAAATCTATATGAAATTTATATACATGAACTTGCATTTACAGCTTGACAACTGGCCTCTGTAGCTCACTTGGTTAGAGCGGTTAGGTCTTAATAGGCTCTCTCTATATATAGTACAATCAGCAGACATGCATGTTTCGGCGGCGTTCAACGCCTCATCAGTGCAGCTTGGTACACGTCTAGATACATGATACTGTACCTCCGACTCCGTATTTATACACATGAGCGTGCTCTCACCAAGCGCATGCGGTACAACACGAAGGCATCGACGCATCCAGTCATGCGCAGAGTGTAATGGGGCCAGAGTGCTCAAACAACCACAAGGGAAGTGAGCTTTGCATTATCGCTAATTAGTCACCCATTAACAACTCCGCAGAGTGCTCAACAACACCGAAGGGAAGGAGCGTAATATATATAGTAATATATATATATATATATTACTATATATTACTATATATATTGAGCACTCTGGCCCCATTACGCTCTGCGCATGTCTGGATGCGTTGAGTCACCGTGTTGTACCACATGCCTTGGTGAGAGCAAGTTCATGGGGTATAAATACGAGTGTCTCACGTATCTGGACGTGTACCAAGCTGCACTGACGAGGCGTTGAAC